AGAAAGCGACCAGAGAGAGAGAGAGAGAAGCCAGAGGGAGACCAGAGAGAGGAGCCAGAGAGAAAAATCAGAAAGAGGTCAGAAAGTGAGGCCAGAGAAAGAGAGAGGCCAAAGAAAGAGGACAAGAGAGACAGACCTCTGATTTAGCCCCACACTTCCTTTGCCATCCTGTAAAATCAACTTCATTGCTACATTCTACTTTTCCAGCTGCGTTTGGGGGAAATGTAAGAACATGTTTAAATAAAATAATGGGTCTAAAAACAACGAGAGTTCATCATAACTCGATGACATCATGCAGTGGGACCTCGAGTTTAAATTAAAAGTGTAAATTATGTAACACAAGGTTTTGAAATGTAATGAACACATCAGTCAAAAAGAAACAGTTGAATATTTTCCTGCTCTTTTGCCCCGAGGTTTGGGACGACTTAAGTGGACCATCACTCAAGCACTGAAATTAGGTCAGAAATCAAAACAGTGTGAAATATACAGTGTTATTTTGGCCTGTTTTATCAGTCTTGTTTGATTTGTGTTCAGTGTCAGCTTCAGTCTCTGCTTCAGTCTCTGCTTCAGTCTCTGCTTCAGTCTCTGCTTCAGTCTCTGCTTCAGTCTCTGAATTAATTTCTGCTTTAGTCTCTGCTTCAGTCTCTGTTTAAGTCTCTGCTTCAGTCTCTGCTTCAGTCTCTCCTTCAGTCTCTGCTCCAGTCTCTGCTCCAGTCTCTGCTCCAGTCTCTGCTTCAGTCTCTGCTTCAGTCTCTGCTTCAGTCTCTGCTTCAGTCTCTGCTCCAGTCTCTGCTTCAGTTTCTGCTTCAGTCTCTGCTCCAGTCTCTGTTTCAGTCTCTGCTTCAGTCTCTGCTTCAGCCTCTGCCCCAGTCTCTGTTTCAGTCTCTGTTTCAGTCTCTGCTCCAGTCTCTGCTTCAGTCTCTGCTTTAGCCTCTGCCCCAGTCTCTGTTTCAGTCTCTGCTTCAGTCAGCCTCTGTTTCAGTCTCTGTTTCAGTCTTTGTTTCAGTCTCTGCTTCAGTCTCTGCTTCAGCCTCTGTTTCAGTCTCTGCTTTAGTTTCTTCTTGGAAACATAACAAAGTATTGAGGGCATTATTTAAAAAATCGTTTGGGAATCTATTGCTGATCTAGACGTTCTGAGGCTAAAAGTTGGAGATCTTTGATTTAGGTTGCATCGGAGCAAGTTAAAGCCGGGTTACCAAACTTTTCCCTCCTGTAATATCCATGTGAAAGAATCTCGTAAAAGCTAAATGACCTCCGTGAACAGGTCAAAACACCGTCACACACTGTGCTCTCCCCTGACTCTCCAACGCTTCATTAGCCACTTTTAAAGTTTGTTTTTTAAGGTCCAAACCGCAACTTTGGCTTTCCCACCTCTGCCCAGCTGCTCTGGCCTGTCTCCAACCAAAATCCATCTTCCACTCCACAAATTCATACTCCTGATGCCAAGCGAGACAGGCGAGGGCACGTACTGTGGCCACAAGAGACCCTGGTGGAGTGCAAATGCAGAAAAACGTCAAACTTCTGCTTTAACCACATCAAAAAGAATCGATTTATGCCGAGGATCTCAGGATGAAGGCAGCGTGTGATTGGCTTTGACTTGTAGTAATGACAAACGTGTGCGCTGGTAAAAGGAACCGGCTTCTAGACTCTGGAAAGAGAAGGAAACACGCAGAAATACCACAGCTTTTGTCCAGGTTACAGAAGTGGTAGTTATTCCCAAAGTTTTAGTGCTTTGAAATGTATTGAATTGTTGTGTTAACTCCAGGACTGATGCTGTAGATCCAAGACTGAGGCTGTAGATCCAAGACTGAGGCTGTAGATCCAGGACTGATGCTGTAGATCCAAGACTGAGGCTGTAGATCCAAGACTGAGGCTGTAGCTCCAGGACTGATGCTGTAGATCCAAGACTGAGGCTGTAGATCCAAGACTGAGGCTGTAGATCCAGGACTGAGGCTGTAGATCCAGGACTGAGGCTGTAGATCCAAGACTGAGGCTGTAGATTCAGGACTGATGCTGTAGATCCAGGACTGAGGCTGTAGATCCAAGACTGATGCTGTAGATCCAAGACTGAGGCTGTAGATCCAGGACTGAGGCTGTAGATCCAAGACTGATGCTGTAGATCCAAGACTGAGGCTGTAGATCCAAGACTGAGGCTGTAGATCCAGGACTGAGGCTGTAGATCCAAGACTGATGCTGTAGATCCAAGACTGAGGCTGTAGATCCAGGACTGAGGCTGTAGATCCAAGACTGATGCTGTAGATCCAGGACTGAGGCTGTAGATCCAAGACTGATGCTGTAGATCCAGGACTGAGGCTGTAGATCCAAGACTGATGCTGTAGATCCAGGACTGAGGCTGTAGATCCAGGACTGATGCTGGAGATCCAGGACTGAGGCTGTAGATCCAGGACTGATGCTGGAGATCCAGGACTGAGGCTGTAGAAAGTGAATAAAACCCGCTCAATGTGGTGGTCAGATGACTGAGGATAGAGCAATGGCGGCGTGCATGCATAATATAATAAAAACCTAAACATACATTAAAAAAAACAGCTTTGTAGTGTTTAGATGTAGGAGAAACAACTATAACACGCCCCTTTTAATCATAAGCTACACTACCTTTAGTAGAGTTGGCACATATGCTATAGGTAAGTTTTTTGCGCGTAGGTTGTGAGTTATTTGGGGAATGGAGTTATGAGCGAGTAAAGATGGCGGCGAGGTCCGGCAGGTCAGGGGTTTGGGCACACAGCCACATGCCTCCAGCCATTACTCAAAAAGGTTAACCGTGCTGCAAATCTGCTCCATATGGTACGATGCGATTCACCAGAGAGAGAACCTTGTCATGTTTTCGATGCAGGATTTTGCTTTTATCTCTATTGTCTCTGTGCAGATTAGCAGCATTGGCCTGAGCTACATATATAGATAGATTCTTTATTGATCAAAGTTGGAGAAAATCAGGTGTCCAGTAGTAGCAGAAACACATGCATTCATGAAAACAAAACAAATAAATAGATAATTCCTTAAAATAGATAAGAATAGTATTGAAATGCAACAGACTTTAGGTCACAGCAGCAGAGGTGGAGTAGCCGCTTGGTTCGGACCATTTTCTCTGCTCTGGTCCAAAGTGAGATTGTAAAGGGTAAAAGGATATTTCTTAAAGGTGTCTCACATTTTTTTTAACTGATGCAGGAGGGACGTTTATAAATATTTATGGACATTGGTCATTTTGCTTCCTATGTGTTTGTTATTGCCCGTAGCGCCTGGAGGAGAACGTGCAAACCCCACACAGGACAACCTTGCCTGGAGGTGGAATCAAACCCTGTCTCTCCAGACTTGTGGACAGACGCAGTTTTGTGTCAAAGTGTCAAATTGAGACGTTTAGCCTCGAGACAAGTCTGATGAGAGAAAAACCACTAAACACTGATAGGAGGAGTTGATAGGAGGGAAGGGGGGAGGAGGAGGGAGGAGGAGGAGAGGCAAGAGAGGAGGGAGAAAGAGAGAGAAAGAGAGAGGGAAATCCAAACAAACAGAACTGACAGAGCACTGACAGACACAGGTGAAGAGACCAGAGGTTTGTGGAATCTATAATTATGTCGTTGTTGGGGAAGCCTGAGGCGACATATTCACTCTTCGCTCTCACCACTCCCGCATTTACTAAATTTTATATGGATTTAATCAATATTATAGAAGCAAGAGGAGGAGGACTTTTATTGGACTTGATCACGGTGCAGTTTCTGTCTTTAGACAAAACTCTGAATGCGATGTCTGTATGCCATAGACTGTATACAGATGGACAATGCTAAACCGATAGCTCAATGAAGCCCAATTGGAAGGTGCTCATGGACAAACTTGCTCTGACCCCTATTGACTTGCATGTAAAAGTAAACTCCTAGTAACTATTTGTCACAGGTTTACATATGATTGTCTGCATATAGTCTGTTTGAGTTAGCACTGATCCTCATAACCAGTGAACCAGAGAAAAACCTAATCGCATGCATCTTGTTGTGTCCCCATTATAAGCAATCAAAAGTCAGATTATGAATTTATTTTGATTGCTACAGGTTAACATTGTTTCCACCTGAATTCTGTCAGAATCCTTAAGTTTGTAAAATATAATCTCAGCTCTACATGACCTCAACGAACTTCCTTTTTACTCAGTTGATGATCAGTTTCCCCAGATTTAATAAACCCTAACCCTGAAGCTGCTGCCCAACCCTCATGAATCAAGTCTGGGTTTCTAAGGACGTTTTGGCGCTAATGGCTACACTCCCACTCCCTCCCCTCTTTCACCTCTCTCTCCGCAACATTCTGCAGAAATCCTCCGTCAGTCTCAAGTGATTTAAGGCTCCAGCAAGACAATCAAAAACACAGACACGGCTGCTTTCTCCAGGGTTTAAGTGGGCTGGAAATGTCTGGACTGAAGCAGTTTTGTTGTGTTCAAGCTACTTTAAAATGCAGGGTTTGCAGAATGTACTACAATGTGTAGGAGAAAAGTTATAGAAAGAAGCTTTAACCTGGGCACAACTAGCTGCAGTTATAACAGTAGTTTAATAAACCAGAGCCTGTATAAAGATGGACAATGCTAACATAGATAGACAGAAGTTTATATGTCACACACAATGTTAACAACATAATAACATATTGTGAAATGATGAGTAACCAATATATCTGCCTAGTTTGATTTAAGTAGTCAACAGCTATAACTACTGTGGCAGGTCCAGGGTGTTACAGTCATTGCTTGAGATACACAGGTGTAAGGGGTGTCTGTGTCACTTTTCAGGGCACCTCTAAGGCTCAAAGGCAATGGGCAGCGTGAACGTTTTAATAGGACATTGCATGATTTGCTCCGCACCTTACCACATGACAAGAAAAAACAGTGGCCAAAACACTTATCCCATGTAGTCTTTGCTTACAATACAACAAGACATCATTCCACTGGACAATCTCCATATTTTTTAATGTTTGGACAGGAGCCAAAGCTGCCGATTGACTGCCTGTTGGGAACGATGGAAACCACAGAAGAGTGGACCTATAACCATCGAGATGCCATTGAACACATCTTCCAAGATGCAAGAAATAAATTACAACATGCCGCTACAAGACGAGCCATACGTCACAATGTCAAGGTAAAGCCGGACGTCTTGCAGATTGGCCAGTTGGTTTACTGTCGTGACCATAGTCACAAAGGTCGTCACAAAATACAAGACTACTGGTCCCCAGTGCTGTACAAGGTGCTTCAAAGTCCAGCAGAGGGTGGATCCGTTTACACGGTGACAACAGCAGATGGTAAAGGAAAATCTAAACAAATTCACAGATCAGAAATTCGCCCTGCTCAAGTCACCCAAAACACTACTGAATTAATACCAGATTTGGGGTTCCCTGAACAAATGCTAACTGAACAGGATGATGATTCTGAAATTTCTTTTGTGTTAGTGGAGCAACACCCTGCTGAACGGATTCAAATGCCTGTACAGCCGGAACCTCCTGCACTGGAACATCATCCTGTTGAAAGGACTCAAATACTTGGGAAGCCTGGACCTCCTGCTATGGTGTCAAAAGCTGCCACTCCTCTAGCAATAGGATTACGCCGCTCTCAAAGGACTACAGCCGGCCAACATCCCAACCCATATAACCTGCCAGGACCGCTCATACAAAAGGGGTTGTCACAAGTGTGTGCAGGTGCCCCTAAAGTGACTTTTCATAGGCCCTGGCTTTGAAGACTTCGACGGGACGTCGATTCAAATCCTAGGGGTATATGTGGCAGGTGTAGGTGTGGTCATGGGTGTGGCCTGGTCACATGACCAAGGCTTTAAAAGACAGGCAACTAGGGCTCACTTCCTCTTCCTGAGCCAGCCTGTTCACAATCAGACTCTGGGTTACAACAGTCCTGTCTTGTTGAGGCCCAGTGCTGGTTGCCGTTTACTTTATATTTAGATTTTGCTTATTTTAGTTTGTGTAGAGTTACTTTGTTGATAGCTGGGGTGACGAGGCTCACTTTAAGTGGTGGCTTTGTTTGTAGTTTTGGTGTAGGTGGCACATGTATGTTTATGGTGATTTCTGTTGTGGGGATGGATTTCTGTTTACTTTGCTTGTCATATAGACTGCCCCTCACCCCAGCTTCAAGTTTCACTGTTTTAGTTCAATAGTCCCATTTGCTGTTTTTAATACTTATGTAATGTAAATAAAAGCTGCCATAGGGCTGTTGGACCCACTCTGACTGTCTGGCTTTGTTATTGAAGCTCACCTGCATTCTACAACACTACAGTGTTACACTATGTTTCCACTGTGTTCATGAGGCGTATGGCCTGCGGGGAAAAGCCTCTCTTCAGTCTTTCAGTTCTTGCACTAATCAAGCGCAGCCTCCTTCCATGAAAGGGGAGCCACTGGAGCAGCTCATGATGGGGATTATGAATGTCTGCCATGGTCTGCTGTGCCCTCCTCACACAGATCTCCATGTACAGCTCAGGCTGGAGCAGTGTAGTCTTTGTGATATGCTCCTGAGCGCCTTCTAGTCCCGCTCTGTGGCGCTCCCGTACCACACTGTCAGTTCTTTTGCAGTGTGGCTGAGATGCTAAACTGCCTTAGTTTCCTGAGGTGGTAGAGCCGCTGCCTGGACTTCTTTACCACACAGGAGATTTGCCATGTCATGTCCATTTCATGTCCTCAGTGTTGTTTACTCCCAGATATTCATGCAAGTCCACTCCCTCGATTGTTCTCAGTAATGCACCCAACCACCACTGTGTCATCGGCAAATTTCATAAAAGCATTGAAAGCAGCTCTTACAGAACTATCCACCCGTGGCTTCTGGTTCATAAATACCTTTATTGTTTTTGTGGGAACAATCTTTTCCATTGGTGTGTAAACAAAACTGGTCACAATATCTGGAAACTCCTGCTAACTCCTCCGATTGGTTGGTCCAGTGCCAGACCTGCTTTGTTTGCAGAAGTCCAGACTTTAGCTTCTGGGAGTACTTTGGAATGAGGAAAATGGATATGTGACCAGAACTACCAAACACGGGAAGAGCAGTTGATTTTATAGACTTTATATAGAATCTATATACAATCTATGTTAGCATTGTCCATCTGCATACAGTCTGAACAATGTCCAGATGGAATATGCTAAAGTAGACTACATCCATACATACAGCAGCAGTGTTATAACACGACATTTTCTTGCTACCTTGTCATGTGGCACGTTTCTCATGGTCTCATTGAAATACATGTAAACCTAAAAACACAACTCGTGACATGAGCAAGGTGTTTCAAGTGCTTTTTTGTGGATCTTTTGAAGGACAAGTTAGATGTATTTCTTCATTAACATGTTTCGGCTGCAGAGCTGGAAGCCATCTTCAGAACCGTCACTGGCTTTGTTGGCGTGTCATTTATTGGTCAGCACTAGATCATATACAGAATTGGGACGGAAGCTGAAGTAAATATAACAAACTACCTATTCATGCCTAAACTTAACCAGCCATTCCCATAAAATAACCCCAACCCACCCTTAACCCTAACCTTCGCCATCTTACTCAGACGCCTAAAACTTAACCAGTCACCACTTAAGGACTTATTAGTCTACAAATAATTCTAAAGTAGGATTGTTACTTCCGGTTTTGTCCCGATTCTGTATGTGATTTAGTGCCAACCGTCATTTATCGGCCGATGTTACTTCCTGAGTAGGCGTGGTCAGCCTGATTGGACGGTGGCTCAGACTGACCACGCTCCCTCTCGCCTTGGGGTCTCTGGAGGAGGGTGCTCCATGTGTGCAACAGTGGGGATTGAGGTTTCCCCGGTTTAAATGATCTGAAGATGGAAGTAATACGTCTATCCGTCTTTCAAAAGAACCACAAAAAGCATTTAATTCTAGACAAAATGAACCTCATTGGATCAAGGTGCTTGAAGGTATCTGGATAATTCAAATTGAAATTAGCCAAAGGAAGTTAAGGATCTTGTGGATGTGGGGAACATTTTCCAATCGGATGAAGCAGTCAGTACATCCTTAAGATGTTGTGTTGAGGACCAAAAACTGTTCTAAACTTTCAGACAGGCCTAGGTCAGTCGCAGGACACAGACTGTTTGGACTGGAATCACACCCCAACCTCCCTGTTTTCCCCCTGTTACTTTCCATATCTCCCCCATGTTTACTCTCCCGATTGCTTGTGTTGATAAGCTCTGAAACCACAGGATTAGCTTATCTCTGGGACAGTAAGCCCTGACAAAAAGACAGAGAATGTGAGTTGTGTTAAAGTGAAGCGCTCTGAATGGCTTGTTTTGGAGGGAAAATACATTAGTGTTGCGTGATTGGTCTCTCACTTAGGTCTCGCTCACTGGTCTCCGTTTCTTGTCTTTCTCTCTGGACTCTCTTCTGTCTTTCACTCCAGTCTCTCTCTAAGGATTTATCACCTGTTTAAGCTGGTACTACAATCCATACAAATTCTTTCTAAGTGGAAGTCTACAAATCTGTGCGGTGGCCGCGAACCTGCAGGACGACATCCGGCGTCCCCAATCCCCCACGCGCCAAACTTTGCGACAATTCAACCATTCTTCATGATTCCTCTACCCATAGGGTAACACATTTGGGCCCTTAGAGTGGCTTAAACACAACAGCTGCTCTAGTTGGGACACTTTTAAAGTCGTTAATTTCGTTGTTTCTATATATTTTGGTTTCACTGGTTGATTAATTCTTTGTTCTGGAATGCATGTGGTTTGAAAGGGAGCTTATGTGGCGGGAGTGTATAACATCTTACTAAGAATCAAGCTGGTTTTGAATTAAATAAACTTATAGTTTGTTATATTTCCTTCTGTCTATCTCTCCACATCTATACAAACCTGTGCGATCTAGTAATGTGGGGATAAACTCTTTAATGGTTCCTTAAGCCAAAATCTATAGTTCATAATGATATTACAGTGATAAGTGAGATTCTAGTTAAGCACTTCCTATTTACTATGTTTTTGCTGTTTAAATGTGTAAAAAACATAGTAAATTGGGTCCGGCCCCTGACAGCTGGCTAATGTTCCAATGTGGCCCTCAGGGGCAAAACTTTGCTGATGCTATCCTAAGGTCTCAAAAAGCACTGTCGGCGGCGGAGCATTTAGCTACCAAGCTCCTTTTCTGTGGAATCAGTGTGGCCCTGGTCCACGTTCTGTAGCTTAGGTCCTGGATCTACAGCCCGTCCGTCCGTGTGGAGCGGATCCCTATCTCAATGTGGATCTCCCCAAGGTTTCTCACTCTTTTCCCACAGTTTTTTTTGTTTGTTGAGTTTTTCCTTGTCGGTGCAGGAGGGTCTGTTGGACAGTTAGTGTCTAACAAAAAGGACTGTGGTGATGATCCAGGACTCTTCAACATTCTAAAACATATATGGACATTTATCATGTGTTCTATATTCTTTTTTGTGATCAGTGTTGGTGATTTCAATGGTTTGTCCTCTGAGATGACTACTGTTGTGATTTAGGGCTATACAAGAATAAATTGCATTGTATTGTATCCTGTCTTTCTCTCGTCTGTCTCTGGTCTCTATCTCGTCTCTCTGAACCCACAGGATTAGATCATCTCTGGGACAGTAAGCTCTGAGAAAAAAATGTTAGTTGTGTTTAAGTAAAGCTCTCTGAATGACTTGTTTTGGAGGGAAAATACATTAGTGTTGTGTGATTGGACGTTTTTTTTCAAAATACGGAAAGAATTCTGTGTGGAAAAGTGTGACGTGGCTTCTTAATCCTGCACTGAGTGAGCTGTGTTGTTGCCATTTTTGTGTTGTTCTATTGCTTTTTTTAATAACCAAACTCAAACTCACTTGGAAGCTGTTAGCTGTCGAGTCAGCCACAGGACAGCTTCAATCTGACTGTAAGGAGATTCTCCCACAGACCTCAGTGTTCACAAAAACAGTTTGTGCTCAGCTGAGGTTTTCAATGGATCACAACTTTTGTGCCACAAATTCATCTCGCTCTTGTCCCACTCTAGCTCTGATCAGCGGGGCTTTGCCTGGTCAGAATGCTCATTTCTCTGGTCCCTCTCTCTGATCTCTCTCCTCTATGGGCTCCCTGTTTGGTCTCTCTCTCTCTCTCTCTCTCTCTCTCTCTCTCTCTCTCTCTCGGGTCTCTGTGGCGCATTAATAGGTCAGTTGTTTGGGCTCATATCTGGATTTACAAAGACAATATCAACACAACCAGGATCAAAGAAACCACTAAACCACTAATTTGGAGCGGTGAGTGTGACACAAACGGATATTAAGCTAGAGGCGTTTTACAAGTAAGTCAACAGGAGGTTTCCTATTCTACAATGCCAAAGTAAATAGTCTTCTTCTCTCTGTCCTCTATCTCCTTCTCTGTTGTACTGTAGTTCCTGTATCAGATCAACTTGTTATTTCAGCTCCTCTTTCTCTCTCTCTCTGTTCCTGCTGCAGATTTTATGACATGTTGAAAGTCTTTTGTGGAGAAACCCAAAACCATATCACATCCGTGCGTCTGTCTGTGACCCAGTTGGCTCCATCCCAGTGGACTCTGCTGACTCTGAAAACCTACTAGCACGCTAACACATGCAACTCTCTGATCAAGCACTGGTCTCTCTCTCTGGGTTCTCTC